TCGTCTCGACAAGGAGCTTGGAACTAGCGCGGTGAGCAGTACGACCATCTTCAACAGCATAACATGTCTTCCCCGACTGAACCATTCATTTCTTAGAAATTAGAACAACAATCCATAGGATTTCGAGGTTGTTTGCCTAGCACAATATAAATCCTCAACCTTTTCTTTAGACATTTTTATAGCTCTTTTGTACGATATAAGCTCTAACTCGTTTTAGGATTTTGAGGTTGTCGTTCGTTACCACTTAAATTCTCACATCTTTTAGGTTATTTGTGCGATCGTTTCACACGAATATAAGCCCTAAATACATAAAATTGGCAGGATAAAACACTTGAATATTTCTCCTCGAAACTGAAACCATACCATAGAGTAGACTGGGAAGTCACCGAGGATAGACTAAGAAGTCACTGAGGTTCTCCTCTGGATCTGTGACATCCCCTAGTTCTTGCTCTAGTTCTTGTTTCTTTGGATTCTGTAATAAATGTTCCAAATTTGAGTCATTCCCCTTTCACACTTATTTGTCCTATTTCGTTGAAAAGTCTCATCCTTTTAAAGTCCTTGAAGATAATTTTTCTTGATTTTTATCGAAAGAATTTTTAAGTGACTTCGATCATTTAAGATGTAATTAACAATAGGGGCTTGCCCTTATAGAAAACTTTTCCGAACCCAACTTAAATTAAACCCTATTTAATTTTTTATATTAAATAAGGGGTTTGCCCTTATAGGAAGCTTTTTCGAACCCAACTTAAAATAAACCCTATTTAATTTTTAATATTAAATAGGGGAATTTGTCGGCAAATAAAACAGTTTCGCAGACTAAACGAACGTCATATATTTTTTTAGTTTTTTTGATCGAGTCTTACCCTCAAGTCATCTGTTTATCCTTCGGGATAGATACATGGTTCGAGGTAGAGTGCTCTTTCATTTAAACTTTGAAAATTATGGGGTAAGTTGGATTTCATATTTTTCTAGACTTAAATCTATATTTAAATTAAAACGTTCTTCCAAAGCGGGCGACGGTATTTCAATTCCGGCGACCGACAGCTTTCTACGGGCGACTCACCACTCCCCCAACCCGGCGACCGACAGCTTCCTACGGGCGACTCACCACTCCCCCAACTTTTTTATCGCCGACACCACCAAATCATTGTATTATTGAGTTATCGTGCTTGATTTCTGTTTTGGCTCGGAGTTATCGTGCTTGATTTCTGTTCCGATCTTCTTGGAAACCTCATAAAGTTTGCTGGAGTTCCTTACATCAAAGTAGGTATCCCGAACTACAGTCCATAGGACAATGGCAGAAGGAAGAAACTTATATAAACAACCAATTGTATTCTCCATGGAGTTAATCAGCCACAACATGATCATGAAATTCTCCAATTCCCACATTTCATGAGTTTGGTTAGTTTTAAGATGTTCACGAATCATTCTTGTAAGATAACCAAATTTTTTGCTCCCTTAACAAAGTAAGACACAGCTTGGGACCATTGGAGAAAATTAGGTCCTTTCAGTTTGTGGGTGGTGATTTGGAAGTTCATGTGCTTTTTCAATTCTCTGGTTTGCGGAGGGATTGAAATCGATGTTGACCCTCTATTGGACTCAAGTACACCATCTTGATCCAACTGAGCCAAAAGTAATGTTGGGGTGTCAAGACAGAGAGATCTTTGATCGAGGACAGAAAAGTGAAGTTCCATCGACTGGACTTATCCTAGCTCGCGCCAGACAGGCCGAACAGGTTCGTGGAGGGATTTTGGCAGCTGGAAACTGCTGCTATTCAGTCCAGTGGCCTGCTGGACGGAGCTCTGACTAGTTCGAATAGGATCCCATCGGCTGGAACCAAGTACCAATCCATTGAGCGGTGCATCTTTCTCAGCAGAAGTCGCGATGGGAAGTAGGATTTTGGCAGGAAGGAAGCTCTAAGGTTAAGATCATGGCTCTGAAACCATGTTAAATTTTGAGGCTAGAGCTCCATACTTTCATTGATAAAAAAGAGGTCTATAAATACACCTTACAAGAGCCACATAAAAGGCAAGACTTAAATTTAGAAATATGGAAACGAATGAAATTAAAGAAAACAAATAAAGCCTAATTATAACTGCAACTTTAATTAGGCTAATAATTCTAATGCATAATTAACTCTTGCATGCCTTGGCATTGTTGCTGGCAGAATTCATTTCATTTCCTCCTCCTATCTTCTTCATATACAATTGGTAAAATTGTTAGTGGAGCATAATTTTACAGGAACACTACATAGTTGAGCATTACACCAAGTTGGTGAGTTTTGAGGAGCAAAAATTTTTTTTGGGACAATTTAATGTTGGTCTATCAAATCATCTGATTTAATATTGATGGAACGATCTTTGGGGGAGTGTCACTTTTAGCCTCCACCATGAATGATTTGGGCTATCCCTCAGTGAATATATGAAACTCTTTTCCACTTTATTGGGATGTGATTTTTATCTCTTAAGTAATCCGTAGCCCTAGTTGTTTTAGTAACATATCTTTTTTTTAATGTTGACTATGGACATTGAACGGTTTTGAGTTCATTTGGAGCCTGTTTACTAAGAATCTTCATCAAAATATCCATTTGTTGTTTCTTAATATTGATTTGTTTTCTCTCCTTGCTGTTATGACATCGAGGTGTCCCTTCATCCTTCTTGTTGAGAGTGATTAAGGCAGAAAGGAGTTCGTTCATTCTCTTATAACTGTTCTCCAACCCCATATACCCAAGTTGCTGTATTAAATTGTCTAACTTGAAACTTGGAATATTTTTTTACAACGATTATATATATTTTTTCTTGTTATTTCTTCCCATTTGAGTATATAGGATTTTTATTTTGTTCTACATCTCGTCAGTACTAGAAATGCTATTATCAATGGCAACATAAAAAGAGTTTGGATTAATCATTTCTCTAGCATCAAGAGAACACCAGGAGCCGTAACCTAATAGGGGAATTATGTGAGAAGGCACGAGGCTGAGCAAACACCCATAAAACCCATAGATTCCTGTACAGGATCAAAAGTTGATTCCAAGTTTTGAATACAATAGGTCAGAACTAGGCGAAATGACTGCAATTACTGTGTTTTTTTGCAATTTTTGCTTTAAAGCATCATTAGAAATTGTGACTATGAAACAAAGAAAATGTCTTTAAACTCAACCTCGTGCCAGTAAAAAACTCTTTCATCAATGAAGAAGAAACATCCACAATGACCAAATCCTAGCTAGATAGCCAAGCAATAGCAGCATTCAACGGATCCAATTTGCCAAAAATTGAGCCTAGGAATTATAAAATGGATTGATTGAAAAAGTTGATAATTAAATGTGAAAAAAATCACCAAACTGGAGTGATAGGTTGTTACACATCAATCAAATTGAGATGTCCATTTATGCATATGCATTAGAAAGCTATCTGCACAATAAGTTTTTTGAGAGAAAATATCTGACTAACCAAATTCCAGGGATAGCTTAATTAGTATGCGATGAGAACCAATAATACCCATATTGAGATCCCTATCCCAATGCATATCAGCAACAAATCTCTGAATATTCTCAATACTTGAAAGGCCCAAAGCAAACATGCCAACTAAGGAGAGGCAGAAAGATGAAACCAGTTGAAGAGCATCCTCATTTGATAAAATGAGAGCATGTTTATATGGGAGGGTGGCTGTTTGACAAACTTTAATCCCATTCTTAAAGTGAAGAGGAAACGGAAGGATTGGGCAGAGGACCATACCCTCATCCCTTCACAGCTACGGCAAAGGAACGTAGAGCATATGTAATGGAGAAACTAGAGGGAGGAATCCTAGTAGCTGTAATTGTCATAGGAGAGTCATCTTTAATTGATTAAACCGAAGTAGTTGAGAAATGTTTAAGGTGGATGTCGAGAGAACATTTAGAGCCAGTGGGTGTGAAGGTGTATGATTCCTTGCATGATAAATAGAATGCAAATGTATCACGGGTGAGTTAGCCTGATATAGCAAGGGTGCCAAAACTGGAGACAGCATATCCCCCTAAACCAATGGGGCAAAACGCCGCAATGGTTGTGCCAAGAGTTGCAATCAAGTGACAAGTGCATATGAGCATGCCCAAATGCAACCAAGCACAAACAAGTGTTGGGGCAAAACAGAGCTGGTGAAGCTAGCAAATTGGTACCACTTGATTTGAATCGACTTAGGGTCCGTGGACAATATTGTTCAACAAGACCAAGAGCAATCCAAGTACTTGAAGAGATGATATCTTTTTCGGAGAGGTTTCAAATCCTTTATTGTTTGAAAGGATAAGCAGTTTAGAGTATTCAAACCACTTAGGCATTTTTCTTGATCTTTAGTGATTCGACTTCAAGTTGCTTTTTTGGTTTGGTGGAATAGATTTCAAGTAGTGTTAGGAATTCAAAAACTTGAGAATCATGATATCGTAAGATATAACACATGCATTGTAGAATGAAAATTAGAAAGCCATTAGGTGGACAATGCAATTTTCTAGAAGTGTAGAAAATGATGAAAACTTGCCAAGATTTTTGTCATCTCCTCTTAAATACATGTGGTTTGCTTTGGTTACAAGTTAAAGAAGATCTGTTACGAAATGCAGGAATGGTTACAAGAGCGGGAAAAGTTACTAGAATAAGGAGTAGACCACCCACTTGAATTTGAGAATATTGTTTGACTAAAAGCATAATATTTGGAATCAAGTGGGCTGTAAACATCCATTCATCTATAGCTAGATCCAGCAAGCAGGGTTTTTTTTTATGTTCTACTATTTAAGCATGAGTAGAGATTTGTTCAGTAGAATTTAAGACTAGTTGTGATCAACTTGAGATGTGCACTTCATATCAAGTTTATGTTTGCCTTGTAAGGATTTTTTTTACAATTTTCATAATTGACTTCCCAGTTAATCTTTTGTCCTTAGTTAATACATGGTTTCACCTGATACTTTGTTTTAAATATTCACCAGCATATTGGATACGTGCATGTATCTTAAAATGCATATCTGTAATAAACAGGTGTACTTTCCAATGATATCTCAGCCGGAAGGCCTTCCATTAAAAATGCAAGATGCCAGTGGTAAGGAGTGGGTATTTCAGTTTCGTTTCTGGCCTAATAACAACAGTAGGATGTATGTTTTAGAAGGGGTTACACCTTGCATTCAGTCTATGCAATTGCAGGCAGGTGATACTGGTAAGTTGTTTCCATTGAATTTCTGTTTTGTAGTCTTAATTTTGCCATTTTTTTTCTTGCTATATTTTCTTTTGCAATAGCTTTACCCTTCTTCATGCCCCCAATAATAGATTGCAACCTTCAAAAGTAAAAGAGAAAAAAGAACTAAAGCTGAACCTGGATATTGGCATGGGACTGACAACAAGCTACATTTTCATTTTATGAGAGAACTTGTGAGATACAACCCTTAAAGCAACTGTTCAAGTTATGCCATGTATTTTTACTTGCATAATTTCAGATCCATATCCAACCTTTGCAACACTAAAAATTTGTATGAACTTCTATAGTGGTCAATAAATTAAAAATTCTTTTGTCATTGACATCAAAATAAAATATTTATAAACTTCAAGGGCTTTTAAACAAATTATAATCCACTAAGAGAACAAATAGCTTGGTGTAGTTGAATTGACTGGAAAGACAGATTTTCTTAACACAATGTTATAACAATAGTTAATATAGGTACATCAATAACTGTTATCAAGAATTGCTAGATTACAATGTCAAAAACAAAAGTATTTACATAGTGCTTGGAGCCAAATGTTGAACCATTTGATAGAGCAAGAAAAGCAACAGAGGAGAACAAATCACTTATTTGGATCTTCTTGATTAAAGCAGGGTGAAGACATGAGAATGATAATAATTTTTTGGTTAATGCTTTGTTAGAAATAAGATTTGAAATCTCTAATCTATCAAAATTTCTTCACTTATGGTGCTCTGATCCCGACTTATTGTTTAAATGCAACAGTATAACAATGTCTTTGATGATATTTTTCACCTATGTTTCCTTATTTTGCAACAGAACCAAAAACTTGATCCTGGAGAAAATAAGAATTTAACTTTTTAATTTATATATATATTGAGATATTACGCAAATATACGTATCGTTATCAAGTAATATAAGACTTTTTTATTAAGACTTGAATATCGAACCCACAAGAAAATTCATAATATGCACTATTGATCAACAAATTTTTTATTTCAAAAAGACAATTACTTAAACTATAAATATTTTTATAATAATTAAAATTCAAATCTTTTTTGTATTTTTGATATTTTGACAAAACAGTAACAACTTCTAAAGATAACTTGAGTTTATGTAAAAGAAAAATACTAATATGAAAACATCTTTCTCCTTATCATGAGTCAGTAATAAATATAGGATTTCTGTTGTGGAAGTATGCAAATTGTGTTGTGTCAAATAAGAGCAATACTATTTTTTACCTTTACTAGAGATGCTATAAAGAACATTGACTAATTTAAAGTTTGAATAATTCTGAAGATCAGCTAGCTAGGGAAGATACTAGCTTTCACTCTAGAGTTCCCTCATTCCCCTCCACGTGGGGGCTAACATCTCGTATCAGAACCTAAAACTATAAACAAAGTTGAGGGTTTTAACCTGTCGTTTTAAAGTCCTCTAACTTTACACCATTCAAAGGTTATTTTCCTATTTATTTGCATTAAATCATATGAATTACATTCTCATTCATACAACCTCATGTGATTTTTTTCAATTGTTAACTGAGATAATACCAGTCGGGTTCTTATATGTTCTTACAACAAATTCTAACATCTAGATAGGCCAGATCAAGAAGTATATAAAGTGCATGGAATTAAATCTTCATAATTTCTTCCAACATTAAATATCAATACTCTCCACGACTTCTATCCAACGCTTTAACTATTTCTCATTTTAAGGAGAAAGATAAAGAAAACTACTCAAAATTCATGGAGAAAACAAAACCACACTTTGATTTAAGAGTAGGAATCATTGTCAAACCAACAAGAAGTCTCAATTAAAACTAAAAGTAGTTTAAAAATAAAGATAAAGACTCAAATCCTCCACTAAACTCTTGCAGTTCCTTTGAATCTCTTTTTTTTTACAACACTTTAACTCTCACAGTAAAACTAAAAACAAAAATGATAAAGTAAATTTGTGGTGCTTGAAAATCTCTCCAAATTTTTCTCCCTGAACTTCTTCAAGAACTTCTCAAGATTCTCCCTTTTCAAGCACACTTCTAAAAGTCTCAACTTTCTTCTTTTATAAATCTCCAAGAGGTGCTTTGGGGAATCTTCAAAATGTGTCTCAATTCGATGTATTCTCCAAGAGATGCCTCATTTCACAAGTTTTTTAATCATATTTTCGTTTCTAGTGGCCATAACCACCCTCTTTAGCCAATATATGCCTCAAATGCTCCTTCAAAATTTGACAAAAATGAATTAAACCGTCAAATAACTGCCTCTTGCAGTTCCTTTGAATCTCTTTTCTTTTACAACACTTTAACTCTCACAGTAACTGCCTGTCGCTTAGGCGCGACCTTCTCTGTTTCACCGGCGCTTAAGCACCGGATTTGACCCTTTCACAAGTTTTTTAATCATATTTTCGTTTCTAGTGGCCATAACCACCCTCTTTAGCCAATATATGCCTCAAATGCTCCTTCAAAAATGAATTAAACCGTCAAATAACCGCCTCTGTCGCTTAGGCGCGACCTTCTCTGTTTCACCGGCGCTTAAGCATCGGATTTGACCCTTGGCGCCAAAACTCTTTTGCACTATTTTCACATTTTTGCTCTAAATTTGATATTTTTTTACTCCTTTTAGCATTTTTCACAGTTTTTACTTGTACCTGAAAGAAAAACACACAAATATATTTCATTAAAGCGCAATATCTCAAAAATAGGTATAAAAATTTGTCTAAAAATACTATATATTTTAGGTCTATCATGCTCCCATTATATTTTTTTTTATGTAGAACTCCTTGATAATTATCGCTTTCACTAATGATAGGGAGGGGAAACTTCTAGTATCGGTGAGATAACTTCTATATTATTGTTAATCAAAGATGTGGCGACCATTTCATTATGGCTAGCAAGATTGGGTACAACAATCTCATTATAATGAGTAAAATCATTAGGCTCCAAATTATGAGTCCAAATATAAACTAATCACGATGGAATTGTAACTTTTTTGAAATTGTTAGTTGTCTGGACTTTTAAATGTTCTCATGGCATTTAATTTTTTTAGTTCCTTAGATTTGAATGAGTTTTAAAGTAACTAATTGTTTGTCATCGGAAGAACTTTGAACAACCATACAATCTGGCTTCCTCTTTATCCAGTGTCATTCATTTGCATCATTTTTGTTCTCTTCTTCTTTGTCATCTTGATTTGAGGAGAAAAGAAGGGCCTTCATCTTTGTTACCTTTGACGTCTTCTTCTCTTTTGTGGCCCTGCATCTTGTTGTCATTAGTGTTTTGTCCTTCTCTCATATCTTCCAAATGACCCTCGTTGTCTTTATTGCCTCGAAACGTCTCGACATGAGATGAATTGTGTAGGGTATTGTATTTTTTTTAACTTCCCACTAGATTTTATTTTTTAGCATTGTGTCACATCATGTGTACCGTTACTTCATGTCGCGGGTTGTATACTTTACATGTTGTTTAATGTTTAGCATTGTTCTAGTTGTGCTTGTGTTCGAAATAGAAATGAACGTCATTTGAAAAATGTTCTCACTTCATATGTTGTAGGCTACTTAGTAACAAAGTTGTATAAAGAGTCAAAATTTTTACTGATTTTTTCAAATGGCGTATATCTGTTGAAGGTATGGAGCTTTTTCTCTCTCTTTTTCTAATGTTAAAAGTTTAGAAGAATGAAATTGTGTCTTCACGTTTAGGATAAAGTGGTTTTTATACACTAAAGTTTTTTTGTAGACTAAAGGGATCTAGGGTAATCTTCGTATGCCATGTTTGCTTCTTTGATCTCATGGGGCTTATATAATGATGAGCTTTTCCGGTTACTTCTTAGTAGTTTGGGATTTTGCTTACCTACTTTAGGATATTCTCACTGGGATTTACTCTCAAGGTCTTTTAGTGACATTATTTTAGGGTTCATAGAAGGTATTTAATGATTGGATTTAACAGGGAGATGTTGTAAAATGACAAGATGAAGAGAAGATTGGAAATCAATGGAGTTTGTAAGGAGATTGAAACAGCGAGGCGAACGATGAAACTGCTAGGTATGGATGAAGGAAAGAATTCACCACCTGTTTTCTTCAAAATATAGGTTTACCACTCGAAAGTAGGCTACAACCCTCCAATTGTGAGAAAACAAGTAGAATGGTTTCCAAATAACATATATATACTCAAACATAAACTAAACTCTTATTAAAAATTAAATTATATTAAATGATGACTTGCATGGCCAATCAAGAGTAATAGGCAGGAAAAATTCTGTAGCTGGAGTTTCACAGGAAAAAGGCTTGTTGCGAGATCACAAGGGTAGCTTTTGCATCACTCTGTCTAGGCAATCAAGATGGGTAAGTAGCAAGCATTGGTGTTTTGCAAATATGAAGGCAACGATTCCAAGTGAATAGAGGGTATCAAAGTTGTGTAAAAGTGCAAGCAATAATGTTAGTGATACCGGAGTTAAACCAAACCACGACACAAGACACAATTTTATTAATGACATAAACAAGGTTACGATGAAGACTCAAAAGAAAGACAACACAAAGAAAAAGCGTAAAACAGGGATTACAAATGGAGACTTAACAAAAGAAGACACAATAAGCTTGTTGAGGAGAAGAGTCCGTAGAGGTGGTGCTAGATCAGCGATCGCGGTGAAGGCCAAAGAGGTGTCGGGCGGCTGTGAAAGAAGTAGGACAACAATTCAGTGATCGTAGAGGCGTTTAACCACAACTGGGAGAAGCAGAAAATGTTGTCGAAGGCTGGATTCGAAGAGGCGACAAATGGCAATCTGCGGGAGGAAGGGAATAGAAGTGGCCTACTGGTGCAGGATGGCGGCACATTGCCTGCGAGGGCAGGGAAGATGTGGCCTGCTAGGGCAGGGTGACAACACAATGCCTACAGGGCTAGGGGCAAAGAATGTGGCTTGCGAGGGTAGGGTGGCGACACAATGCCTGCGAGGGCAGAGGGCGAGGATGGCAACTGATGTCGAGGATCGAAGATGGA